GTAAATAGCAGCCTGCTTTTCCAGTCTAAGACCTCTGGTTCTGAGGTGCAGAAGTCTCTAAAAAACTGCTTCAGTGGTGGTTATGATTATTGTCTCATTCCATTTGCAAATTAATTTCTTATCCCCACACAAGGGATCTATCTTCTCACATAGGAAGTGCCCTTTCCCTTCCACCCCATTTCTTCAGGGACCAGCTCCCAACATAGCTTGCCTCCTACTTCAGGCAGCAGCGGGTCCTGTGCTCAGATACAGAGATGCAGAGCTGTCTTTGTAGGTGATCCACCTACAGTCCTAACAAAACAGATGAAGATTTGATTTACATCTTTCCTACTACTTTGCTGTTCAGGGAAATGCTAACCTGGAGAGCAAGATGTACTGTTTCCCTCTAAAAATTTATACCTTTTATCTCCATTACCGAGCCTCTGACACTATAGCCATGTCAGCAGAGCTCCCTAGGGAAGATTTGGCATCTGCTTCTCAAATGACAAACTAAATTAGCAGAACCTTTTTCTGTGAGCAGAGGTGCATCTACAAGGGGTTTTGCTAGTACAGTACATTGACTAGGTGATCTTTTTTCTGGCAAAGCTAACAAAATTTTGCAACATAGGCTGGACCTCATCCCTAACTTATATTTCATATATAATCTCTAACTGTTCTAACCTTTTGGCTCCATACAGTGGAGAAAAACTGGGTTGTTCACAAATGGTGTCCCCCAGCAGATGTGGGGGTGCCATCTTGGCCAATACCAGGGTTGAACAAGAACTCTGCTTAACTAAATGTACAACCTGATACAGTTTGAGCTGCAGAGTCAGGCTGTCTCTAGCAGATGTGAATTACAGATTCATAGCCCTATAGATCAGGCACAGAGGCTCTGGCATACACCTGGACACAAGGGCTATACAGGAACATGTTACAGGGGTATTTGTAGCCGTGTTGGTCTATAGACATAGGCAGACAAGGTTCTTTGGGTAAATCTGATACGTACCTGAAAGCTTTCAAAGAAGAATTTTTTTCAACTAGTTGAGTTGGTCTAATAAAATATATCAGATTTAACCAAAGTGCCTTGTTTGCCATACATGAACATGTGAATGCAAAGTCAACATCCTCTCCCACTGTTTGCAAGTATTGCCATTTGCTTCTGGACAGAATCTGACTTTGAGTTTTGGGAAAGTCTTTTCCCCTGGTACTGCATGGATGGTGCCCAAAACCATTGCTGAGGGAAAGCAGATCAGAATAATCAGAGAAAAAAAAAATCACAGCTTTTTTTTGTTTCTTTACTTAGCCCTTGGGGTTGGGGCCTGTCACCTTATTTGAATTTATGCAGTTGCTGAGAGTGGGGCCCTAGCTCCAAGACTATAGCTCCTAGGTACTGTGCAGAACACACAAAACGTAGCAGTCCAGCTCTCCTGCTTTTGAAGGCACCCCATGCAGTCTTGGGTCTCACAGGGCAAGGATGCCTTCCAAGGCACCCAAATCTATGCAGGGCCAGATCTCCAGTTGGTGTGAAGGAGCTAAAGCTTCCTGAAGTCAAAGCTATGTAGACTTGCTTCCATTGATGATCTAGCCCACAATAAACCTTTATTTTAAAGGGATGAGACCCTGTTGTGAGCCATCTAAAGAAGCAGCTATGCTTTAGGAATGTGCCCATCAATCCAACAAAGGGCCTATGCTTAACTGTACAGTTAAACATGGCCTGTGCCCTTGTTCAACTACAAATACCAGAGCAGTCCCACAGAAGTCAAAAGACCTAATTTCTGTGATTAATTAAGCATGTTTTAAGGGCTTTGCCACATCCGGGCTTTAGATTATAAGCTCTTTGGGTCAGGGATCATTTTTTTTTGTTGTTTTGCTTGTACAAAGGCTTAATACAATAGGGTCCTGCCTGGTGACAGGGGCTACTAGTAGACCACAATACAAATGATAAACAGTAATTGTCCTGGCTACAAGCTGGTGTTGATCACTCTCCTTTAACTCATAAGCTAGAGGCATGAAATAAATGCTTTAAAAATAGCCATTTAGAAGAAGGAAAACTTTGTTTAGTCTACATGTAGTCATGGATAAAGAGGGTAATTCTAAAATAAAAGCCCTTCTGGCCATAACTAATGCTTACAATTACATAATTGATGCCTGCCTTTACAATGTGTGTAGTGAGTCTGATTTTGTTTTTCTCCTTCTCCCCTAAACAGGTTTCTATTCTGGTACATGTGTTTGGTTCATGGAGACCTCTCTAAAAGGCAAATATTGAATCTACAAAGGCAGAACCAAAGGTTTTCTGACCCTGAGCGTAGGGATCAAAAATAAATATTATCTAACTAGCAAACCAGAAGGAACTCAGAAGAACTTAGGGCTGATCTTTTAGCAATGGAAAGGCCAAGCAGCAAACAAAGGAAAAGCCACAAGAAGCTATGTAAGAAAGGAGGGTCTCTGAAATAGCTCTCAACTAAGAAAAGGAATATTGTAGAAATGATGATTTAGGAATCAGCATATTAGCATACAAAAAGCTTTTTCCAGAGCCTGAGAAAGGGACTTGGATCCTGAAAGCTTGCAGAAAAGGACCATTTTCTTGCCATTTTCCAGTTGGTCTAATAAAAGGTATCATTTTGGAACCAAGAGTTCTAGCTTTTTGTATGTATTTTTGTCTCAGACCAACATGGCTACCAAGTACACCCCTGAATCAGCATATTTATTTTCTAGCTATAGATTAAGCAGTATCTGTGGTGCACAGACACCATCTACTGGATACTTCAAGGAGTGCATATTAGAAACCTGCAGAAGCGTCATTCTGATAACCAGATATTGCTGCCATCCATTGGAGAAGCCCCAGGGAAGATACTTGACGCTCTCTCTCCTGCCCAGCTCCATTGCTTTTGGATACTTCTGTGCTGGGAGGTAAGATACTTGGTTTAATTTCCACTGTGAGCTTGGTTCAGCTACCCACACTTAGGTCAGGAGTGGAGCAGAGTGCACATCCTTAGGCCTTTTTTTGCAGGAGAATGAATTTTCCTTCATTCCTTCCCCCTGGATCTGGCATAGAAAGGTCTCCAGTTGAACCAAAGGGAGCCACTCTCTCTAGTCCCACCCATCATACCTGTATCAGCTCTGACTACAGGCACCCTGGAAGCATCACTGCTTCAAAAGCAGGACAGGGACCAACAGCAGGTCAGAAGCACACATGGGGTGAGAGTCTGGTTGTGGTGGAGGATGGCAGTGTGCACTGGCAGCACAAAAGGGAGTGCAAAGCTATTATAAGAGGATGGCTGACAATATCCCTGCTGGGAGTGTCTTCAGGCTAACACAGCTGGCTCTTCATTTCCCAGCCTGAGCATGCTAGTGAGGAGGGAGGTGGGGCAGGCCTGAACATGCTGACCTTCAGCCATTGCTGTGGCTCAGCAGCTGTCAGGGTGCCATCAAGAAGGTGGAGCTTACAGCAGGCCTGGGCCAAGCACCTAGTTTTCAGGGGAAAAAAAATATGAGAGGGAGTTTACAAATAACAGATAGAGGCCTCAGACATTTCTCATAAGTGATTTTGACATCACTAGAGAAAATGCCTCTTTTATATAGTATTTAATAAAAAGGTTTTCACCAGCTTGACTAACAGGGTTGTGCAGCAAGAGAAAGAGCTAGAATTTCAAAAGCATCCTGTACCACACAGATCCTGGCTGAGAATTCCTGAGCTCAATATAAAGTGATTAAAATGCCATTCAACAATCTCTCACCAGCCCAATTTCTAGACAGGGCTGAATCTGTAGGCTGTAGACCCCAGACTCTCTAGAGCAGTGGTCAGCAATCTACAGCCCACATGCCTCTGAAGCCATTTGATCTCATCTGTGGGCATATGGCTTTGCACCTTTTGGTGGTGGGGTGCAACAGGTGATTTCCCCATGCTGCATGCCTGCCTCTCACCCATACTGGGCCTTTTTGCCCTGCAGCCTGAAACGGCTGCCAGCAACTAACCTAGGGGAAGTCTGGTGTAGTGGGTTTCAAACTTCCTAAGGTCACAAACCCCTTTCATATCACTTCTGCCACAGAACCTCCACCCCTATGCTACAGACTGATGCAGAGCCAGGCAACCTGGCCAGGTAATGGAACTGCAGTTTCCCAGCCCACCCTGCCATTATTCCCAGTCTGTGTGTGTGGAACCCCTAATGACCTATTGCAGAACCCCATTTGGAAACCACTGAGTCTAGCAATATACTAGAGGAAGGGTCTTAAACTTATCCACCTTGCTTTAGGCACCTGTGGGTAGACAAGGCTTTCCCCACAAGTACATTGTCTGGAGATGAAAGACACTCAAGTCAAATTCACCAAGGAAAATGCCAAAGTGCATTTAAGTTCAGGCTAGGGTGACAGTTCGAGTCATGCCTTACTCACTATTCTCACAGCACAAAGAGCTAGGGCAAACTGTGGCCTGACAGCTCAATAGCTAGGTAGTGAAGCCTCATGCAATGAGAAGTGTTATTAAAAAGGACACTTAAGATTGCTGCTCCCAAGCTGTAACTGAGTGCAAATCAGATCACAACTGCACCCTAGAAATGCTTGAGAAATCTACTTTTTAAACTCCCCACTAGGTAAAAAGGTAACATCCTAATAGGAAAAAAAGGCTGAGTCCAGTCTCGGCTCCTTGACACTGCCTTGGGCTAGGACCAACAGCATTTGGTTCTTTTCATGAAATCTAGAGTTGCTTTAAATGAAAACTTCGGAATGGAAATTTTCTGCTGGTTCTGAAGAACCAATCTAGACTAGGGTATCCAATACCCAGCCTGGAATATGCCAGGAGGGAAATGCTGCCTACTTAGCCAGCTGGAAATCTAAAGCTGCGATTTCCAACAATATTTGGCCAAAACAGCATGTGCACATGGGGCCTTTGCTCCAGCAATGCTGGGACAAAAACCTATCCCCTGCAAAGCTGAAACTGCCTTCCTTATTCTAGACCTGTAAGTAGAAAGACTGTAATCCAGCCAGCATGCACCATACACAACAGAGAAGACAAAGCACCAGGATCCATTTGTTCCATCTTTATTTACAGGGGAGGGGAGAACAGTACTTAACCTTAAACCACCCCCACCCGACAGAGTGCCTCTGGAAGCTGTCTCACATCTTTGCAGGGCTGCATCCTGCTCTTACCCAAGGGAAAGTATCTGCCTGAACTGGAATGACCCAGTGATCACTACCTACCTCCCTGTAGTGGCCAAGATCATGTACTCCCAAACCATTTGCCAAGGGAAAAAGGTGTTGCTATGCCCCAAGCACAGGAAAGCAAGAGAATGTTTGCCCTTGGCAGTGTTGACTTGGGCACCTGTTATCTTCACTGCCTTCTTAAGTAAAAGCAAGTCCTTGACCTCGACCAATGAGGTTAGTCCTTACTGCTTTAACTCTTAAGTGCCAGAGCTGATGGGTAGGAGCCTTAAAGGATCCTACAACTCCTAACCAGCCAGTAGCTCTTGTAGACCAACCACAAGCATTAGATTTGAAGCATAGGACGCCAAGCACAACTCCAAGCAGAGATAGCTCCCATGGAAACCACCACGTCCCATGCCAGGCACCTCATAAAGAGGGCAAAGCTCAAAGCCTCTAACCACTGCTCCCGTCTTTGGCCTCAGAGGTCCTCAAAGGCTCCAGTGTTGGGGTACTCACTCCTCCTGTACACCAAGGCCTCACGGCCAACTTAGCACAGGGCAGCAGCACTGTCATATCAGTCCTATGCTAAATCCTCTGGCGAACAAGGGCACTCCAACCCTGACCCTGCTCTACTGTGGATGGAGCTAAGTTACTTTCAGCAAGCCCTGGGGAAGAAGCTGTAATCACACTGGTTTTGAGATCCAGCGTTGTGGGGACCCTGGCAGGTTACAAGCAACAGGTATGTACAAGTTCAGCATTTTCATGGGGCTGAGAAAAGAGAAAGCAGACAAGTCACTCTAATTCACACCTCAACCAAACCAGTTCTGAAGCTATCTATTAATGTCCCCAGCTCAGCAACTCCCTTAGGCTTAAACTGGGCCTTTTCTTGTCCCTTTACTCTCTTGTACTGGTGAAAAGCAAACACAGCCAAACTGCTGGGAGTGAACAGCAGGGCCGATGCCAATTCTGCCACCAAGTTTTGCCCACACTTAGCAGGGAGAACAGGTATTGGCTACTGAAGGAGGCAGGCAGTAGGGGAGAGCTTGGAGGAAGTCTGACCACCTGGCAAGAATCCCAGCCAAGATACTTAATGGTTTGCTCTGGCAGCCTTAGGTAAAAGCTGTACAGGATTTCAAGGGTTGGAATTACGTCAATGTTCCCATCTTAGAGGCGTGCTCCTGAGTCTCACCAAAAAACACTGGCACAGCTAATCACTTCAGACCCAGGAACAAGCTGGGCTCCATGAACCCAGCTGAACTTTGGCACATAGCACCATGGACTGGCAGGGCCCAGGCATAGTGTTACTTGTACAGAACTTACTGGGAGGGGCTGCTCTGCAACTTCTAATTCAACTGCTCTCCTCCCAGGCAGGCTGGGATCCTTCCTCAGCTATGATATAAGCAGGCTCCACCTCAGCCATTGTAAGCCAAAAAGTAAGCCCCCTTCTATACAGTATGGCAAAACCTGCAGCTTCCTTAGTGGGGCTCTCTTGCCCCTTCTGCTCAGATGGCACAGATACCTCAGAGCTTGCCGATACTCTCATTACTCCAGCAGTGCTCACAGGTGTAGATGAGGTAGGTTCAATTCTTACTGGGACAAGTCATGTCAAACCCCAGAACTACTGCCATGGGGGTGTCTGAGGCTGAGTAGCAACATCACGGAGAGATAAAGACAGGGGCATCCTGAGGCTGTGGACCACTTGTAAGGAAGAGAGTCACAGGGAGGGGAAGCCCCTCAGGTTTCAGCCAAGGGTCCCCCCACCCTTTGGCCCTGTCCCCAATTCTTTCTGCCAGTCACAACCCAGCCCTTCTCCTGGTCACGAAGAGCATTTGGAGGCTGTCCGCAAACCACACACAGAACATCAAAAGCACAGCAGCACACTCCAGGACAAACCTTACTCCCACCCCCAAGCAGTAGAGTGGCTGCTCCTAGACTCCTAAACCCCTTGGTTGCTAGATTTGAAACCTTTGGCAATTCCCTCCATATCTGCACATAGTTAGTAAGCTGCAGATCACCACCCCAGCACCTCCCTGTTACCCATCCCCACCACCCTCAGCAATACTAAGTTTGGCAAATCCCTTATGGCAAGTAGTTTTACATTATTCTACATTTACACAAAAATAGAGCAATTCTATATGTATAGATATTTATAGCTGGTTCCGTACTGGAGTGGTTATTGAGCAAAGCCAGCACAAGTCCCACTGGGTGCAGGCTCCTGGATGTCCTGATGCTCCTCTCGCGGCTTTTCCAAACATACAAAATTCAAGGCATTTGTCTCCATCTGGTTTCTTAAATACATGGTAAGGGGGAATGAATAGGACACAGTATGTAGAAAAGCAGAGTACTGCCCAACTGCTGTCTACCCCAGCCTGGCCCCCAGGCAGCTGGCAGGGGTGTCAGTGAGGCCGGCTACTTGACTCCGAAGGCTGCCTCTGACGTGGAGGGGTGTAGCCATTCAGGTAGCCATTGGTTTGACGTTTGCTGAGTCCTCCATTTAGAATGTCCTGGATGTGCTGTACGATCAGGTTGATGGCCACTGTGAGGAAGAAGCAGAGGGAGATGTCAGCTGTTAGCCTGGTGGGAGGGAGTGAACCGAGTACTTCCCATATGCATGCACCCCATCCTCTTCCCCAGAAAGCATGAGTCATTCAAGCCAGCAGGGTCATGCTGATTCACAGCAGTTGAGGACCTATTCCCCAAAGAGTATATGTTCTTCCTCAGTAAATTTCAATGTAGAAGCACTTCATTTTGCAGCACTAAATGAGATGGGCCCCCTACTAGCTTGAGTTAGTGTCCATATAGTCCAGACCACGCCTTAAAATCAGCAACTTTCCTAGTGACAGGATACATCTAGGATTAGTCCAGCGGAGTCCCATCAGTAAGCACTCACCTTCATTATCTGCTCCCCTGGGAATGATCACATCAGCATACTTCTTGGTCTGCAAAGAAGGAGAAGACCATGTTAGAGGAGGAAGCAGAGGCTAGAAGACCCCCAGCTCTGAGGCATTGTCATAACTTCTGCTCCTTGCCCAGGAGGCTCCAGGACTCTGCCTACTGGAGTTCAGAATGCTGGGCAGGGCAGGGCAGGGCTGAAGATACCCAGGGTTCTCTTCAAATACCACATTCTGGAATCTTTAATAGCCTAAAACCCTGCATTAGAAGGCAGAGACTCTGGTCATACTGGCAAGAGCTAGAAAAAGCCATTAATAAACAAAATTAAAAATTAATTTGATCACATGACTCCTGGAGCTGGTGCTTTAAGGAACACTGCTGGTGTTTTAAGGAACCCTTCACTGAATACTCCTCAATGGCCTGCCTCGGGCTGCAAAACAACTGAAGTTGAGATGCAATTTCAGTGCATCTGCACGGCCTGAAGCAGTCAAAGGAAAACTGTGTAGGACCCCAGTCTTTGCCTGGTTTCACCTTCCTTCTCTGGGAGGCCAGTGGCAACTTCATGCCCAGACACTGGCCCAGGCACTGACCCTGCACCAGCAACAATCAAACCTGAGCAGTTGGCCAAGTGTTTGACAGCATCACTGGCACTGCTGGGCCTACCCAGAAACAGGCCTGGAAGGCTCCTGGGAGCAGTAAAAACAAAGACGACCCTTTCACCTAGTGAAAATATTTCATGCTTTAAATGAAAAGGCTAGCAGTGGGCTCAATGACTGGCATGCTACTATCATGCTCCCAGTACACAATAATAGCTTAGGTGATGAGGCAGAAATAAATCAGGAGACTGACAGGCAAGGTGGGTTCCTTAAGTTGAGTGTTCCCTTAGGTCCATCAATTTGCTAGTTTTGTGGCTGCAGAAAGGATTAGCGCCATTTCCATTACTAGTGCCCAAAATCACTCCACTTCCAATTACAGGAATTCGGAGCTGGCACCCAAGCTTTCTTTCTGCTCAGAAGCCTGGTACCTTGCCAGCCAGGAAGGGGAAATGCAGTTTCACTGCACATGACAGAAAGAATCCACAGCCTCTCCTTCAGCCCTGGCCTTGGGGGCTGCCCAAGCAGATGATATGAGCAGGCATTGATTATAGGTGGAGGTGGGAATAGCATCCCATACCTCCCAACACAGCATGCCTGAAAATCCAGGACAGGCTGTATGCCATTAGGACAGCACACACTTACTGGCAGGGAGCTCCCTTACTGTTGCAGCATGTAGCTGGGACTGGAAATCCCAATCAGAAAGCACTGATCACTGCAACTGATATACTGCCTGCTCCAGCTGGCTCCGGTCCACCGTGAAGCCAACTGAGTCGATGCCTGGAGTCCAGCCTGGCACATCAGGGTGTGCTGGGCTTCAGTGGGAATAGAGCTCCTCCAACAAAGAGTGGTGAAGGATGAGTTCTCATCATGCTAGTGGGGTTATTATTTCTCTTACTTACTGGCAAGCAGAATTCCTCAAAGGCTGGTTTGACGAAGGTAATGTACTGAGACAAGATCTGCTCAAGGTCTCTGCCTCGCTCACTGATGTCCCGTAGCACTAAAGAAGAAAAAGCAAAAACAAAAACACGCAGTCAGGAGCCAGATTACATAGATCAACACATCCCTGCCCCCCACACCCCTTTCTCCAGAGGCCCACATAGGCCACTGAGCTGGGTGCTGGCTGCATTCACTTCCCCTGGCAGTGGCCTCTTAAGGCCACACCCCAGCCCAGTAAATTGCTGTTTAATGGGTTGTTTTTGAGCCTGCCTGAAAGCCAAGGGCTCTCTGATATTGCAGGCAGTTTGGGTGCAGTGGGGTGGGCCTGGTTACACCCCCCCACATAGCATCAGCCAGCATGTTTCAGCTATATCCATGCCATACAACCATGCTGCTTCAGTCCTGCTCCCTGCCGCTTGCAGTTTCAGTACATCTCTGGGCCAAGCTGCAGCCATCCCTGCACTACTCTACTCTGAGGATTCTCACATGTAACTCTGCTGATGCCTCTCAGCCCTGGCCCTGGGCAGAGACTCCAGAAAGCAGGGGCTGGCACTTAAACACTGCCTTTTGCAAAGCAGGCAAGAGACTCTGACCAAGGTAGGCTGTATAAAGCAGATACATCTTAATCCAGAAGTGATCTGCATGCATTCTAACCCAGGTCTTCACACTGAAGGGTTGTAAATTATACTACCCCCTCCCTAGTGGGATGGATTTTGTCACTATGTTCTGAACCTATGCCTCTTTTGGGATGTGGCTGGTCAGAGTTTCATTTGGGAACCACTTGCTCACTCCTCACTGTTCCCTGTTGGGTTTCAGCACAGCCTCTTTCTCACCCCCAACTTTCCCCTCCTGGTGCAGATAAAGTTTGCACCAGTCCCTGCCAGGGGACCAGTAGAGCCTGTCCCCTCCTCCCAAGCAGCAGTTAGATTCCTCCAGCATGTAGATGGGCAAAGCCATTATCTGGGAGCTGGCCTTGGTGCAGCCCCTGAGGCACAGTGCAGACAACACCCTACCCTTCCTAGCAGGCCTGAAGGAATTTCTGCCCTGGGGTTGCACGAAACAGAACTTGCATTGCCAGTGATTTAGCAACTTTCTCCAAATGCCAGAAGTCAAGCCGAGCCAGGTCACTGTGGGCTCCCCATGAGGCTAGCTAGTGGCCCAGCAAACATCCAGAGCCTTCTGTGCTAGCAGGAGACACAGCCAGAACAGAACTGGTCTCCGACTGCTCCACTGGAGCTGACCCAGCAGCTCCAATGATCTCTTGCTTTTCCTGTTTGCCCTTGGTTATCAGTTCCAAAGCACGCCCTTTTGCAGGACAATCCACAGGATTATAGGGAGGAGGGGCTGGCAAACTCAGCTGCAAATCCCTGCCTGGCCATGGAATGTCCCAACCCCATCCCAGGCTGCTCTTACCACCTCTCCCCCATGCCTAGAAAAAGGGGTAAAGCCCCAATGGGGATTTTCTAGCAGCAAACAAGTGGGCAAGAAAAGAGGGCAAGTTTGGCTCCCTGGTTCCACATGACACTTGCCAGCCACCCAACGGGGAGAAAGCACATACTGAATTTATAGTCTACATGGCAGGGCTCCCTGGCTCCTTTCAAACACAGCACAGTTTAGGAACTACTGCTAGAGCCCAGGACAAGCAAATTCCCCAAGGATGCAAATCTTCGCGTTTCATGGCCTATAAAAGGGACAGAAGGAAAGTTTTTCAGGGGGACAATCACCACCCCAAACCCAATATAAACACTATGGGAGGCTTGTGCCTTTTCTCTCCAGCAGCTGGTGCTAGAGTGGCTGGAGAGCAGGATACTGGCAATCCTGCAGCACTAAACAAGGGCACCAGCATGTAGGCTAGGGTGGCAAGAAGTACAATGCCCTTGGGCCACCATGGTTTCAGTCCTGCTGTTGTGCGGAGATGCACTGCCCCAAGAACAGGTAGGGAGATTCTGATCCTGCTTTCATAAAGTTCATCCACCCTACACAGGAATGGGGCTTTAAATAGTACTACGCTGATGCTTACAGTGGCCTATATTATACTGAAGTACAATTCACAGGTATGCTGCGTTAAGTGGTAGGTGTGTAAAAGAAAGGAGCCCTGGCAAAGGTCAGATCCAGAAGCTGGAATAGGCCCCTGGAAATAGACAGAAAGCCTCCCAATTGACTCCAGTGGGAAGTAATCAGTCCTACAGTGAAGGGAATTTCCTAAAGGGGCTGGCCAGCAATCTGGCAGCAGACCCCCTTTTACCTGAAGAAAAAGAAAAAACTCGTGGGCCTAACCAACAACAAACCAAATCCCAAATATAGTGATCACTACATCTGTTGGTGCTGCATTCTGGGAGCTGTGGCTTCCAATTCCCTTCCAAGGCCACAATTCCGTTCTGCTTATAAAAATCACAGACAGCTGTTCTTGGGCCTCAAGTGCATGGTGCAATCCAGCATTCCAGCCTGACACCACCAGTACCACCCACCTGGTTTCTGCAGTTCATTGATTTAGTGGTACCTTATGACCTTACCGTTTGGTTCTACACAGCCATGCTTCTCCTTCCCCTGTAGTGACAGAGGCAGGCCTAGATAGTGGACAGGGGAAAAGCTCTGCAAGGGCTGAATGTTAGTTTCCACAATGCCCACTAAAGATTGGTAGGGGAAGACAATCAGTTCTTCTTTAGAAGGTACAAGCTGGTCAGGGATGGGGGAGAGAAGAATTTTGAGTGACTGATCTTATCTATGGTAAGGATGTAAAGCAATCATTTCACCCCATAGGCCTGACTGGTATTGCAGGGCTCCTTGCAGGCCACTGGGGACTGCCAGGCATCTGCCCATGGCCACAAGTGCTAGTGTACCACCGTCAGCAGCTAGGGAGTTAACGCCATCACTGTTCAACTGGCAAAGCAGGGGTTACAGAATTACAGCATCAAGGTAGCCAACAGCCACGGGATGAACACTGCCAATTTTAGTCACAAGTGGTGACCTAAACCACCAAATTCTGGGGCTGCACTCGCCCCCCCCAGGGTACTGGCCATGCTGCAGCTCCAGGAGGCGCAAGTGGGTAGAGTGGCAGCAACATTAACTCCTTGCCTGCTGGCATCCATGGCAAAAAGCTTTGTGGGCCATATGACCAGCCAACGTGGGTCACATCTGGCCTGTGGGCTATGTCTGATACCTCTGAACTATGAAAAAGCCAAGCCTGAGTGGAGAGAGCTTCAGTGGGCAGTGACAAGACACATGTACCTTGCTTTAAGTGCTCTGTCAGCAAAACCCCCTTTCAGATAGCAAGTGACAAGTCCTGATCCAAATCAGCTCATTCAGTTTCCTCACTGGGATGAGAGAATGTTATCTTTAGTTGTTACATCAGAAAGAAACTGTTGCTGGTTCTTAAAGTCATCCACTCCCTTCCACGGCTGTTGATCTCACTGTTATGCAGTAATGGTAAGTAACTGACTTGCATGCTTCAGAGTACGAGACATTTCTCAGAGCAGGCAAGCAAATAGTTAAAAACTCTACAAAGCTCTCTGTTGTCGGCTAAGTGCCTGTAACTTTCACTTTTTCTTGGAACTTCTAGTAGGGGCCTGGCTAAATTGGGCTACTCAGCTGGATGGACAGAAAATCCTGAATTCCTAGTATCATGAACAATGGATAAGGGAGACTTGTTCTTGCAGAGGATATTCATGCAGTGTTTGTGACCTGCTAATTCTTCCTCAGGCAGTGACTGTACTGTGACCTCCCTCAATGAGTCATGCAGAAGTAGCAGGCTGGGCAGAGAAGACAGAGGGGTATGTTGAAAGCTGCTTTCATCAGCAATGATGACATTACAATAGCTGAAAAAGACCCTAACCTTTGCTTGATGACAGCAGTGCTCCTGCAGGTTTTTCAGTAGCAGTAAGAATTGCGTGTCAGATGCAGAATGCTCCATCTCGCACCTCTCTGGGATACGAGTCCTTAAAATGCCAACTCACACAGGGCATGCCACTCCTAAAGGTCATTAAGGGAGCTCTAATCTGGGATCTTATCACCTGTCCTCTCTATACCCAGGCACCTTAGCTGAGATTTTTGATACCTATCTGATTTAGATGCTTTCCCCCAGAAGCGATCTCTAAGATTTTTTTCAAAGCAGCCTAAGAATTTAGACTGCAGTTACTAGCAAACTGCATCTTACGTTGTCTCAGAGATCTTGGAATGCCCAAAGTCCTTCCCACATAAGGTGAAGAGGTGTCTCCGCAAAGGGTCTAATACAGTGCCTACAGTGGTCAACTTAGGCATTTTTACTAGAGTTGGTTGCAATGGATGACATCAGCTCAGGTCCTGGCTGCAACACTAGTATAGACAGTGAAGTAATGGCTGCAGCAGTTTATTGTTACCTCCTGTTGCCGACATGAAATGCAACTTGCATTCTGTAATTAATGCTAAGCCAGGGCGCTCTGCCATCCTGCACCTCCCATCACAGGGCTATGCTGGCAGGAGAAGAGGAACCATATTCTAAGGCAATGAAACAGTCTAGATAGAGCTTGTTTCCAGGTTGGCCAAAGTGTTACCCAGGTAGAAAGCTGAAACCAAGACAAGGATCTAGAGGCCCAATACAAGACAAGAGGATGAATTGTATTTTTAGAGAAATTAGAGTAGTTTGCCCTGCATCTCTACCCTGGCAAACAAGCCAGCCTGAGAGTCAGCCTAAATTGTTGATGATGGCTTGCCTGGCCAACTAGCCTAAGGACCAAGTGAAGGGTAGCTGGCCACAGGGGATGACAGCCTCTGCATGATGAGCTGCTCCTATCAAAAGTACTGAATTCATCTAATGTGCTGTGTTGTACATGCCTGGAACCAGGATACCCAGAGATACTGTATAAGCCAAACTAGGGTGGAATCAGCAGCCCCAAAGACTGGCAAGTCTGACCTGCCCGCTTATTTCCAACAACAAAAGCACATTAGACCAACTGCCTCAGTCTCAGCTCTTACCTTGCAACCAGCTGCTGCCATTAGCATTACTGTCAGAGTGGACAGAAGGTTCTGTATGCCTTAGCAGAGGACAACCAATGGGACAAAAGTAGCAACAGAACTCCAAGGAAA